AACCCAAGCCCTTCCATGATTCTGTGATTCTATAATAATCCCTCTGAAAACACAAACCCCTAGTATTTGAAAATCACCCTATTTCCCTTCCCTCTGTCACTCTGGTACAAATTTTTTTAATTTCTCTTTTTGCAAAATCACATCCCAGTTCAGGTACCTGCAGCAGGGCAGCGTGGGGACCTTTGTGTCAGCTGTGTCACCATTACTTGCCGTGCTTGGGGGCCTCTTGCTATCTTCTCTGTGTGAGTGACATTTAAGACAGGATCCTCTCAGTTCCCCATTGCCTGAGAGGGAGGAAGCACAGCCATGCTAATAGATTATTTTGCTGATTTTGCAAGTCTGAGTGAAGGCATTGTTCTGAAACAGCCAGGCTCTGCAATGCAATTAGACTAGTCTGCTCCTTGCAAAATCTTGTTAGCAAAAAATGGTCCTGGCATGCAGCAGATGTTGTATCTCCCATGGTTATTCATCCTTCATAGTTCTTTGTCTCCCCACAGCTGGCTTGATGCGATCCAGATCCCCAGTGAATCTAAATATCAGAAACCTGAACTGGGAAACATTTATAAGACAGTCACCAATTGTAATGTCAATTAGAGGATTATTTCCTCCTTACTGCCTGTCTGGAATTGGTCTAGCTGGAGAAGACAAGGAAAATATTTTCTGGTTTAAACACATTTGCAAGAAAATTGTGTGCATTTGGGAGAGCAAAGGGAAATCCCACATGCTTTTTGGTGGGAAGCAAAATTACACCAGCAAGTGCAAGATAATTGCACTGATTGGGTCTTTTCTTCCCTTAATGGACTTCAGTAACCTGAACCTGGAGGGAACAGACTGGCCTGATCTGAGCTCCCATAAGCCAGACCTCTGCAATCAGCCTCTCATCGACAGGGACCTCAAAGTCCTCTCTCAGCCCTGATTTCCGCCTCTGTCCCACATTCCTTGCAGAAGGAAGGATATGAATCATCAGAACTTTGAATCACTATTTTGGCCCTCCCTGTGTTATCAGGCTGTATATTTCCACAGAACCATCCACATAGGCTTTCTCTAAGTTGTGTTTTGCTGCCTGGAGCTTAGCAGCCATTTCAGCAGGCACTTTTAGGAAGGGCAGATCATCTCTGATGGTGCTTAGGAGTAACCATCCCTGGAAGCATTAAAAAGCCACGTTGATGTGGCACTTGGGGGCATGGTCTAGTGGTGAACATGGAAGTGCTGGGTTAATGGTTGAACTTGACAATCTTAGAGGTATTTTTCAACCTAAATGATTCTATTATTCTTCTTCTAAGACAATTTCTTGTGGAGGGTAAAGAGACATGATTGACTCTCTCAGCCAAGGTAGAGTTAAGAGCAACACATCAAAGTCATAGCCTCCCTGCAGCCATAGCTTTTTGGCTTTCCCTGCACTGTTCCTTGCTGCTCTCCATCTGTGTCCAGACTGCAAGCAGCCAGGACACAGAATCTGGCTGTAATGAGATGAAGGAACAGGACAGACTCACAGTTTGGTGAAGCCTCAAGTGCCACAAGGCAGTTTGAGCTGGGTCTGTGATGGCTGATGCCTGAACCCAAAAGGCCCCCAGGGTGTGTGTGGGTGTGCACGTTGGTGTGCTGCCCTCTTCTCTCAGGGTTGTAGTGCTGGGAGGGTGACGTGGTGTTTGCTTTTTGGAGAAGTGCCCGCCTGGGTAAATGTTGTTGCTCACCTGGTTTCTGTCAGTTGCATGGGAGGGAGGGGAGGAAGCCACGGTCATGACCTTCTCCGATCAGAGCATCTCTGCTTCTCTCCTCCCTTTGCACATACCAAGCCCAGGCCCTGCAATTCCATCAGGCTGCAGAACAAGCTCCTTATCACTTCCAGCTTTTTTCACAGGAAAAGAAACACTGAATGTTCCAAAGCTTTTCTTGGCTTTTTGACCTAGTTCTCACTGGTCTCATTTTCATCACCCACCTCTGCATGTGGGCATGGTGCTCCATGGCTCTGAGCGGGCTTTGCATCACACACCAGTACCCCATTGTGCTCCATGCAATCCAGGGAGAATTGCAGCCTTGCTGAAGCAGTGCCTTAGTCCTTTGCTCCCACTTCAGTACAGGCAGAGCACACAGGGAATGTCATCCCTGTGGCTTGAAGGCCATTCAGTGTAGACTAGGGCCAAAATGTGTGAGTGGAAGCCTAGCAGCTTCAGTGGGGTCTGAAGAATCCAAGTAATTTGGTATTGGGAAGCTCTAGGCTAAGCAATATGGCAAACCTTCTCAGGAGGTTTTGCTGGGGAGGCTGACCCAGAGATTAGACTTACCCTGATGCAGCCTTAGAACAAGGAGGCAATGCTGCCTTCCCCTGTGCAAAGACTGGATATTTAAAAAAGTTTCTTCACTGAAAGGATGGTCAAGCATTGGAATAGGCTGCTTATGGAAGCTGTGGAATCACATACCTGGAAGTGTTTAAAAAATGTATAGATGTGGTGCTCAGAGACATGGTTTCATGGTTTAGTGGTAGACTTGGCAGTGCTGGGTTAATGGCTGGATTCCATGATCTTAGAGGTATTTCCCAAGCTTAATGGTTCTATGAATCTTCACCCTGGAGAAGCTGTGAAGTCTCCATTCCTGGAGATATTCAAAACCTGACTGAACACAGTCCTGGGCAACCCTGCTTTTAGTAGAGGGAGGTGGACTGGATGATATCCAGAAGTTCCTTATAACTGCATTGATTTGGTGATTCTGTGCTTAGGATCGCTAGGAGTCCACTGGGACCAAGCTCGATCCCAGGTCTTGAATGTACTGTGTGGTCCTTCTGCAGGGAAGCGGGGCAGCCCCTCTCTGCCTTTCAGGGTAGACCTTACTGCAGCCTTTCAGCACTTGAAGGGGGCTTATAAGAAAAATGAGGAGAAACTTTTTATCATGGTCTGTTGCGACAGGACAAGGAGTAAGGGTTTTAAACTGAAGGAAGGTTGATTTAGACTAGATGTAGGGAAAAAGGTTTTCATAGTGAGAGTAGGGAAACACTGACACTGGTTGCCCAGAGAGGTGGTCGATGGCCCATCCCAAAGAAACATTCAAGGTCAGGTTGGACAGGGCTCTGAGCAACCTGATCCAGTTGAAGATGTTCCCACTCATTCCAGGCTGTTGGAGTAGATGCCCTTTTAAAGGTCCCTTCCAGCCCAAACTGTTCAATGTTTCTCATGCTTTCATGTTCTTGCCTCTCTGTGTAATATCAAGCGACTCCTTTGTTGTAATCTGCAGACTCACCCAGGGGCAGAAGGGGCAGGTGCGTTCCTCAGATGAGGCAAACACGGTGCCTCTGCAAGTGCCCAGAGTAGGTGCCCAGAGCAGGATCACAAAGAGCTGACCTTGCAGACATCCCCATCACCAACAGGCAGGACAGACACATTGCCAGTTGCTGGGTGCTTCCCTGGTGGTATGAAACAGGAGCTAAACCCCACGGCTTCTCTCCCACACCTGTCTGCACTCAGTGATGCTGAGAGGCTCAGGTGGCTCCTGCCTTTGATGGTGGCAGTTTGCCTCCCCCTAGCGCTTATCCCAACCTCCTGCAACGCCAACTTTAGAGGATTAGACTTCTCCCTTGGGTTTGATCCTGCTCAGTTTGCTTCTGGATGGAGCTTGGCTTATTTTTGAGGTGTACAGTGCTGGCTGGGCTAGGTGAGAATAGTCAGAGGTACTTATGATTCCTTTTCCTCCCTGTGATGGGGTCCTGGACAAGCTGGTCTAGTGGGAGGTGTCTCTGCCCACAGTGGAGGGACTGGAACTAGATGATCTTTAAGGTTCCTTCCAACTGCAACCATTCTATGATTCTATGGGCAGAGGCAATAAAAGTCCTCATACACAAAGTCTATGGGGGAACATACTTTACTGGGTGCAACCAGCCTGAAAAACTGGGAGAGGTGGGGGAAGAAAGATAATCTGCTTTTCATTTTTCCTCTTCAAATTAAACATAGTAACAGAGGGGAAAAGATTCTTTCAGCTCTTTGTCTGTCCCATCTGCTCTCAGCCTCCAGCTGGACATGACCTTCCAAGTGGGATTGATCAGGAGAAAATATTTTTTTTAAAAAGAGTAGTGTGTCATCTAAAGCTTGCTTAACACCCTCTGTTATTTAAGTGCTTTTTTGGCCAGGCTCTAAGAGGCAGTGGGAAGCAGGGAGGGCAGTCTGGCAGGAGCTGGGCAGAGGAAAGCTGATGTGCTTGGTGCCTGAGCACTTGGAGGCATGAGATGACCTCCTAGCTGCCTCCTACCCAAGTTTTTCCGTTCATGGTGCCTGTGCACAATCCACCATCCTGGTTTTGGTGGCAGAATGAGCATTTTATCCTCCTGGCCCAGCTGCAAAGCTTTTGGCAGCAAATGTTTTTCATCTGCTGTGCTAGGATCTGGAAGGACAGACCTCCTGGGTAAGGACACACCTCCTGGGTAAGGACACTTGTCTTTTTGCAGCCATGGCTGAGACCTCAGTCTGAGTTGAGCTTTCCTAGGGGAACCATCTGATTTAGGCACTACAATTCATCATTAAATGCCTGTCTCTGCCCTCTTCCTTCAGGGTTTTATTTTTGGATGGATCCACAGGTTTCAGTACTGGAGGCAGTGTTTTTGGGTCATGCTCTCCACAGCAAAATAAGAGAGGGAGAAGCTGGTAAAGCAGTCACAGAGTAGAGAGATCTGAAAGAGGCGACTTAGAAGAGCGGATGGGGCATAGGGCTGAAATGGTGTGAAAGCGTCCCATTATCACCAGGGATAATTAAAGCTGTGCTGATGCTGATACAGAATAGGAAGTAAGTCTGGTGTCCCCTGGGCAGTGATGCTGCCCATGTCCTGGAGAGAGCAGAAGGCAGGACAGTGTCCTTCTGCCACCAGCATGATGAACAAAGCCAGCAGAAAGCTGCAGGTCAGGTTTGCCTAGAGGCTGAGGAAGAGAGGGAGTGATTTTCCTTTGACAAGAAACCCTGCTTCTGATTTCCCTGTCTGCTCACTTACCTAGTGCATCTGTTTTATTTCTGTCCTACAGGAAATCTGCAATGATCCACGTCTCTTTGTGGATGGGATCAGCTCCCATGACTTACACCAGGGCCAGGTTGGGAACTGCTGGTTTGTGGCTGCCTGCTCCTCCCTGGCATCCCGGGAGTCTCTGTGGCAGAAGGTAAGTGTTCTTTCAAGTATGGGATCCAACATATATTCAAGTATGGGAATGTACTGTGGGCTGGAAAGCCACCAAAGAACGGCACCAGAGTGAGGGGCTGCAGACGTGGGGAGCAACCAGAGAGGTATGGGAGGAAAGAGGTGCTCAGTATCACATCCTTGGAAGGTCTGTGCTCATCTCCACCATGTCCTCAGCTATAGAAGATGTCAGCCCTATTAAAGCCAAGGCAGAGGGACTTCAGACTCTGGTTCAGGTGTGCATCATCGTAGGGCAAGAGACCAGCAAGTCGCAAGCACCTTTTCCTAGATTTTGCTGCAAAAGGCAGCCGGTGTGTGCAGACAGCACCACCTGCTTCACCCACAGCCTCCTACTGCCACAGATCTGAGAGAGTTCCTTCCACCCCACACCTTTGTATCTGCTCTGTGTGCTGGGGTACTTTCAGTCTCTACTTCCTGTGATGATCCAGACTCAGGAATTTCTTGCAGCACCCCCATTTCCTGTTAAAGTCAAGGTTTTTCTTTATACGGGAACAGGATAGCTGTTTTGGCTTCTGGATAACCCATAAGGCTTCCTCACATGGTAGCTGTGGTGACTCTTGGGGCTCTCATTAGAGGGGTGGTGCACGGGGTTGTTTAGTTTGTTCCTCGGCACCAACATCTCCCAAGGGTGAGCAGGAAAGTTGTCTTCCCTCCTCACCATTCACTTCCAGCTCTGCCCTGGGAAATGCCAACCATACAGTTGCTGGGTCCCTTTGGACACCTCGTTATTTCAGTTTGCCAATGATATTGCTTTTCCTCCCAGGGCAGTTTGGCTGTGGGTGTTTGTGACTTCTCATTTTCCATGCCCTTAACTCTCAGAGGCTCTTTTTTGCCTGTCTCCTCCTTTCTTTCAGAAAGGTTTGTTTTATAGAATCATAGAATGATATGGGTTGGAAGAGACCTTGATAACCATTTAGTTCCAACCCCCCTGCTGTAGGCTGGGACACCTTCCATTAGATCAGGTTGCTCAAAGTCCTTTCCAACCTGACCTTGAACACTTCCCAGAGATGAGGCATCCACAAGTTCTCTGGGCAACCTCTGCCACTGTCTCACCACCCTCACAGTAAAGAATTTCTTACTTTCTGAAGATCTCAGAGACAGAAATAATGGGCCCCTTGGTCCTTGGTATGGTCGCACGTGCAATTGGGATACTGTTCCTGAACATCAAAATGTCCTCATTCACAGTCTGGGAAGAGCTGAAAGATGCCAATGCAGGCTTTAGAATCTCTGAAATGTCAGCCCAGATATCTTGGTCCACTGCTACTATGAAATATTTTCCTGATTTACACCAGGATGTAATGTAGGCTCTGAGTGTCCTTTGCTCCACTTCATGCAGTGAAACTCTCTCTCTCAAGTGTGGGGAGAGGGAATACGTTCTAGGAAATAGGATTGACCAGCACATCTGTTGCATCCCACATCTGTATGTATCAATGACATGATTTTATTCACACACTTTCTTCCACCCTGCTCTCTCCATGTCCCTGTTTCCTATTATGGCTGTGTGGTGTGAGTCACTGAGTAGGATAGGGAATAAAAAGTAGGAATTTAATTTAGAGCTGTTTTCTAAATTCTTTCATCCTAGCTGACCCAACATTTCTTTAGGTGTGATCTGGCTCCATGACACCCTTTCTATGAACCTTCAGAGGTTTCTTTTCTCTTACGAAAAGAAATTAAGACATTGAAATAAGGGGATTTAAATAATTTCCAGCAGCACTTTGTCTAAAGGTTTGTCTGGATCTTTACCTGTGCTCCCCAGGTTGCATTGGTATTGCTCAACAAGCAAAGGACAGGGGCGAGGCTTTGAAGCCAAGTGGTTCAGACACCCCTGCATTTCCATCACACCATCTGGTCTTCTTTCTGCTTAGTGTCTTCCAGAGTGCCTGGCAGGCTTGGCTGGGGCACCACAAGCAGATGGCTCTGAGGACACTGACCTTCCAAAGTCCATTTTGTGTAGGTCTTCCGTAACATGTGGTTAGTTATCGCTTCCCCCTGAAGGCTGATCTTGCACCTCATCAAGACAGAGAAGGAACATCGCGTGGTGCCTGGGAGCTGGACCCCCACTGCAGTGTGTTCATCACCACATACAAGGTCATTGCTTCCTCTACTGCTACCACATATGGGGGTAAAAGACATAAGTCCGTCCAAGCAAGATCCATATGACACTGTCACATGTAGCTCAGCTCAAAAAGGTCTCCAGAGTTACCTGAAGGTGGTTTTAACATTTAAAACCCAAGGATCAACAGCTGTTGCTAAAGGTGTTTTAAAGCCAGTAAACAAGTGAGGCAAGAGCTCAGAGAACAGCCAGAAGGGTCATTTGTCCTTTTGGATGGGGCTGTGTAACTCTTAGCTTTCTGGACTCTGTCCTCAAGGTCTTCGGGAGTAACAGCAGAATGGTGACTGAAGGACAATTCCTAGGAAAATGACCCACCTTGGGTCCCTGTTGTCTGTGTCTTGTCTGACCAGGCCAGCTTCTGGTGGTCTTTTTTGGGACTTCTTCTTGAAGTCGAAGTGATTGCCCCTGGAGTGATAGTGGGTGTTCATGAGTCAAGTGTGACAGTGCAAATACTGGCACAGCCTTTTGTAAAAATATTATAGAAAAAACTGTTTCATGGCATTCATTTAACCCTGTTTGAGCTCCCAAATTGCCCTGCAAATAAGTCATATGGCAGAGGTCAATCTGAATCACAGACAGGACAGAGAGAACCCAAATGATTTTGACTCTACAACATGTCTAAAGCTTTGTGCTGAAACCCAGTGCTCTCCAAGTCCAAAGCCGTCATCATACCCCAAAGATACCATGGAATGCTTGCAGGAGTCATGTCCTCTCCATGGCACATCCAAAACCCTGTCTGTGGTTTAGTCATTGATGGGAGCACTTGGCAGAGGAGAACTTGGTTTGGCATGACATCTCTCTTCAGGATGCACAGCCTCCTGGAGCCACCCAGCACTCTGCACAGAGAAATGCATTCAGCACTATCCCCCTGTATCCCATCCATCAGCACAGTACTGTGCTCTGGATTTCCCAGAATCACAGAATGGTTGTCTGTGGGAAGTCCAACTGCCCTGCTAAAGCAGGTTCACCCAGAGCAGGTTGCACAGGATGGTGTCCACAGGCATGCCCAGCAATTGCTGAGGAATGGGTGGTTCCAGGTTGAGCATGGTGGTCTTGCTGGTGCTCTGGTGGGTTTAGAGCATCAGAGCTTGTAAAGACTTTATTTGTGTTGCTTGTATCTTGGGCCCAATTCTCTACCTGGCCCAGAGAGACAAGCATTAAGGAACAGACTATGCCTGAGTTCCCCTTTCCTGGGCACACAAAAGGGAAACCCACTTTTGAGCACCCTCTCCAACTTTGTGCCAGTTCAGGCACGCAGAACAACGTGGGGATGTTGCTGCCTACCTGCTGCTGCAGGAGCACTGTGGAGCCTGACTCCTGCCAGCTGTGCCATCCAGAAAAGAACACAAGGGTCATGTTAGTTTGGTACTCATTGACTCGAAATCAATTTGTCCCTCAGAGCTCTTGTGTCTTTTTCTGGATGGCACAGCCTCATGTGAGGCACCAAAAGGGTCTGTAGGGAAGTGGGTTTGTGCATCCAGGAGGAGGGAAGGGGAAGAGGGAGCTTATTGTCGAGTGTAGCTGCTTAATAATAGAACCATAGAAAGGCTTGGCTTGGAAGGGACCTTCAATATCATCTAGTTCCAACCTGCCTGCTATGGGCAGTGACACCTTCCACTAGACCAGGTTGCTCAGAGCCTCATCCAACCCGGATAGGAGAGAGCGGACAAGATGGAGCAGAGGATGCACAGTCAGGGGACGACAGACAACAGCACAAGCTGCAGCTTATCTTCAGCATGAGCACGGTCAGATTCTGGAAGAGGGGCCCTGAGAGGCTGTGGGAACTCTGTCCATGGAGATGCTCAAAGAGGCACTGGACAAAGCCCCAAGTGACTTACCTGAAGAAAGCCCTGTTTTGAACAGCAAGTTGGACCGACCCCTCCAGAGTCTCTTCCAACCTGAATTATACCATGAACCTACACTCAGAGAAAGCTACTACCACTCAGACATGTGAAGGTGGCATCCCTGGCTGCACACCTTTGTTTTGGGATAAGGAGCCATGGTTGTCAGGGAGGTTGCCAGGGAGGCTGACATCAGACATCCCTTCCCTATAGATTATGCAGCACAGCACAGCAGCACCATCAGTTAGAATCTGCAAACAAGTTGGAAAGGCACCCAGAGGAAGCACCGGAGGGTGTTTTGCGTCACTGGCCTGTGTTGCCTAGCACTGCTGAGTCCGTGGAGAGGGGGCACCAGCTCCAGGACCTTGTCAGATTTTTCCGCCTGTGTGTCCTGTTTGAGAGCCACACATTGCTGAGAACATAGCAGGGGAGTAGCCAAGGTGATGGCAGCTGAGGCAAGGATGCTTGAGCTGCCCTTCATCTGCGATGAACAGCTCACCCGGCGCATGCGGCTGCGATTCCAGAGCCTGCAACAAAAAAACATGAGGCCCCAGGATGGTGAGAAGCTGCTGCATCCCAATGAACACATCTACCGAGTGGATTTCACCCGGCAGCACAAACTGCGCTTCCTGCGCTGGGACATCCAGCTGGAGAGACCTGGAAAGGTCACAATGACTGGCACCTCCCAACACTGGACTCCTGATCTCACTCACCTTATGAAGCGGCAGCTGCTGGAGCCAGTAGGAATCTTCTGGAAGAAGCCAGGGGCCAAGGAGGTGGAGTGCAATGAGGCAGATGCCCAGGAATTTGGGGAACGAATAGCAGAATTAGCCCAGATCCGCAAGGTGATGTACTTCCTCCTCACTTTCACCGATGGTCTCGAACCAGCTCAGCTGAAGGGCTCCGTTGTTTTTAAAGCCTGATACTCTCTTGCTCAGCCTCGCTCCAGCTGTGCTTCAGTCTTAATTTTTCTTTCAGCTCAATTCTTTGTTGTTTTATTGTGGGTTTGATTTTTTTGTTTGTTTGTTTTTTGGTTTGTGTTTTTTGTTTGTTTGTTTGTTTTGGTTTGGTTTTTTAATGAGGAATGGCACTGTGATAAAGTGGAGAACAGCTCAGTGCTTCTGGAGCGCTTCAGCCCAGAAGTGTTCCCCAGACGTGCTGTCTTCTCTCTGAATGATGGGGAGGAGGGGGCCATGAGCTTGCTGCTGCACTGCCTGGAGTATAAGACAGTGTGCTTGTGAATTCATCGGAGATTCACCAGGTCTGACTGGTGCAGGGTCTTGCTGGCTTGGAAATATAAGGCTGCCCTAAGCCCTTGTAATGTGGCAACTGCGTAACCAAGAACCTGATGGGAAAATAAATATTTGCCATACTAGAAACAGGAGAGACCCCTGGAGAGAGCCCTACCTTCCAGTTGCCATCCTAGACATTAAAGGGAAAGCTTGTTTGCAATGGATTTCTACTCCTAGTAAGGGTGCTGAGTGCAGGCTTGCAGGCTGCAGTGACTCCTACTGCGGCTGTGGCTGCTTGGTGTCTCCGAAGACCAGTCCCATGGAGAATCCAGCTTGCTGTGAAGCTGAAATACATTTAGACATAGCTTGTATTCTGCAAATTGCAAACCTACTGGACAAACTGGGAGGTTGGACTGGCCCTTTCCTGACTGTCACCACCATTTCTTGCTGGGGATCACTGCAGGGACGGATTCTCCAGCTTGCCTTGTGTTGCCTGGAGTTTGTTGGTCCCAAGGTGGGTTGGAGCAGGTGTGAATGCAGAGTCTCAGGTCTGAGCCAGCAGTGAGACCCCTGCAGCAAAGCAAATTTTCACATTGTACTGTCCCTAGAGCACCTATGAATATATTTATTCTCAAGTGTCTATACAGAGCCATGAGGTTGCAGAGCACTTTGCAAACGACAGAGCAGGAACCTGCTGCTGCTGTCCCTGGAAAGCAGTGTCTCCTACCCTCTACAACACAGGGAACGGTGTGTGGGTGGCCATGTGTGGGAGCAGAGGGTAGTGGTACCTTTATAAGTATTGGGGCAGGAGGGTGTTTTATGCCTGGCTTGTCCCATGACTGTGAATAAACTACTGACTTTGGACATTTCCTCCATCAAAAAGTGGAGGGTACTTCAGTGAAGCTTCTTGAGATACACAGATAAAAAAATCCTTGAAAGAGTTAAATATTATTACAATTGGTCCTTTGCTCAGATTGCACTCCACTGTAGGTAAGTGCTTCTCAAGGTTTGGCCTGAGATTTTCCCAAGATAAGTAAGGAGAGAGCAGTGATGGGAAGGCCAGGACAAGGGGACTTTGTACCTGTGGCTTGCTGACTTGTGCAGACCAGCCCTAGAAGAGTCCTCTTCTTCAAATCCTCCAGAGATGCAACTCCATGCCCTCCCCAGCCCAACAATAATGTACAAAATGATATGCACAAGCTATGCCAAGGAGAGAGGAGAAGGAAAGCAGGACGATCAGATACTGGCTGGAGAGATGATGGGAGCTTGGAGTCTTGCCCACAACCAAAGCTCAGCAACCACTCAGATCATACAGCCATGCCATGGACACTGCTGGAGAAGTTGATGTCTTTGTTTAGACCCCAAGAAATGCTGGACTCAATGAGTAGAGAGAAAAGTGGATGCATCCCTGCTTGGCCATAGCATGGACCCACTGTTGGCCAACCCCACTTCCAGGGTCCTGGCAGACTTTCCCATAGGAGGACTTCTCCTTGTGCATCCCAGATCAGAGCTCCTGGCTACAAACCACTTTAGACCAAATAACAGGAGCCACTGGCAACATCCAAAGGGATTTTTGCATGCCATTGCTACGTTGCTGCGGTAGAGTTCTTGCTGCAGTTGCCTCGCTGGGTAGTGATGTACCACAGTAAATAAAACCCTAGCCAATGAGTTTCCTCTTAAGATTGAGGCTGTATGTGTCTTATTCATGTTCTTTTTGGAAGCTGCCTCTTTTTATCTCCTATAAAATGTAAAATGAGCATTTACATTCTTCTCTCTGTGAAAGGCTTCATGGAGTGTTGAACAGTTTTGTGTGGTTTGGGGAGGGGTTTCAAGCTGGGCAGAGAAGAGGCAATGATTCATAGGTGGATCCTGCTTTCCTTTAGAGCAGGAGTGGGAGTTGAGGGGGGCAGTGTGATCTCTCTCTGTTGCAGGGAAGATGAGCCTCTTTTTACTGGTCACTGAAATTCTCCCTGTACAGTATCAGCATCCCATAAAGGCTTTCAGAAACACTGCCCTGTCCCATCTCCCAGGCAAATTTCATCCCAGTTTGTCCCATGGTTCAGCAAATTGGTACAGCTGGATGCCTCCCTCCTCATCCTGAGCTGGCAAGTTCCCAGCAGAAGGCTTGGAGGATTTGGCACCTAGCGATTCCTCCTTCTAATCAGAACATTTTTTCAGGGCCACAAGCACCTTTTCTCTTAATTAGCCACTCTTAAGAAAATTGAGAAAAGCCCTGAATCAGCTTCGGGAAATAAACTTGGTGTTTCTGAGCTCCCAATTTACCCATCTGTGAGCCCTTGCACTGCAAATTTGTCGCACTAAAGGGTGTTGAAACTCCAGATTTTGGGAGCCTCTAAGCAAAAAGCAGCACAGTTGACTGATTAAGGAGACGTGGTCTCCTCCACTGCCCCAGTGTCACACAACCAAGTTGAGTCCAGGACTCAGTGCAATCCCAGGATGAGTGGTCCACAACATGCTCTTCAAGCATGGAGCATCTCTGGAGATCATACTTCTCTCATTTCCTCTTGGGTCAGTGCAGAAACATGACCAGTCCTTGCTGCTGCATCCTCCTCTGGATGAAAGCTGACATCTTTTGCTGCCTTCAGTGGTGGAAGGTGTTCTCAGCACTGTCCTCGGGTGAAGGAATGGAGAAGGATGGTGGGGACTGATATCTCCTACCAACCAGCAGCAGCAGCAAATCTCAGAACCAGCCAGCTGGAAGCTATTGCTACCCACTCTGGCTGACAAGCTGCCTCTAATCAATGCTGTGATCATTTCTAAGCCCACAATAATAGCAAGTTGATTAGCATGATGGTCCTCTATGACTATTCATTAGGATGAGCTCCAGTCAGGAGGGAATTGATGGGCACTGATGGAGGACTGTCTGATCTTTCCTGGCACTCTCCAAGAAGGACTCTGGGACGTTGCTGTTAGCACTCCTGGAAAACGCCAAACCCTCCAAAAGTGGCTTTTTTTCATGGCTTTGTCTGCTCTGCTTCTATTGATCCAGACAACTCACGGTGCCAGTGAGCTTGCAGAGTTGATGGCATCATTAATATTTCAATGTAGGAGCAATAAGAGGCCTGGTCTGGGTCGTTGCTAGAAGCTAAGATGTCAGAGTGCTCTTCAGAGAGAATTCACTCAGCAAGATTACTGCTTTGTGACAGCACACAGAAAAAAAGGCAGAAGGCTCTGGCAGCTGGACAAGGGCCAAAGCACAGTACAGGTGGTCTCACCATGTCCCTAGACTTCCTGAAGAGCCTCTTTCCATGCAACGTAGCTGTGTCCTCTCCTATCCCATCCCAACACTCTCAGCTGTCTCCACAGGACAGTGATTATTTGGTGTATTGGAACATAATGCATGCTCCTATGAGCACTTTGGGGTTTTTCCTCACTGAGGTCATGATGCCTTGGGAGCAGGTAAGTAAAGAAGCAAAGGTGTGGACAGTCAGTCACATTACTGCAGCTGAATCAGTCAGTACTTGTCACTATCAACTAGATTAACTATGAGTGGCCTCACAGCCTGTCCTGGCCATGGAGTAAAATCGCATTGCCTTCACCCTCAACAAGCTGCAGTGTGAGTAGTTTCTTGCTGTGGGCCTCTGTGTCCTGGTTCTAAGTACAATGCAGATGCTCCCATATGTAGCATCTGTGCTTGGCTGTGCTCATTTCTGTCCCAGTTGTTGGGTGAATTTTCCATCCAAAGAAAAGCTAGTGGTGCCTGCAGCCATGAATGGACTTTGATACTTCTTATGTGCTTGTCCCACTGGCAGTGACACCAAACCTGTGCACCCTCAGCCTCTCAGCTGCTATAGGGTTTCTTTCAACCCAGGCCTTCTTTTCCTTCTTTCAACAAGTTACCTCCCCATGCTTGCTTGGATGAGCATGGTAGCTCTTGACAGGGAAGAATGGAGACCTTAAGGGGATGGGATTTTATTTAACAGATTAGACACATTCAGAGTGTCTGCTGCCTGTTCACTGGCATCAGGTAGATGAATACAACACTTGCTCTTGTGCCTGTCAAATCACACCAGAATCAAGTAGGAGAATCAAAGAAGGTGTGCTCTCATAGTGGTACCCTACTGACACTAAAAGGAACAAAAGTGTGGTCATAAAAGTAATCATCCCCGCTCAGACTAAGGATGCTTCTGCTCCAATAGCCTGTCTGCAGAAGTGGATGGCAGCAGATGCCCAGGGTAGTGTTACAAGAAAGAGGACGAGGATCTTTAACTCCATCTTCCAAGGGGCAGTGAACTCTAAGCTATTCCAGTACATGTTAATCTAGTCTGCATTGGAGGAACCAGGTCCAAAATCTAGCCCTAGCAGGCTGAAAGCAAATCCATTCCTCTCATGTTCTTCCTTGTCTTTAATATTATCTGCATTAGTTCAAGGATGAGAGTTATTCCCAGAAAAAAGTGAATAATTTGCGTATATGTGCCTCCTCTCTACAGGTCATCCCAGATTGGAAGGAGCAGGAGTGGAACCCTGAGAAACCTGAGAGCTACGCAGGCATCTTCCACTTCCAGTTCTGGCGTTTCGGTCAGTGGCTGGATGTGGTGATTGATGACCGCCTGCCCACACTCCACAATCAGCTCATCTACTGCCACTCCAACTCCAGGAACGAATTCTGGTGTGCCTTGGTGGAGAAAGCATATGCCAAGTAGGTACAGAGGCTGTCGCAGGACAAACTGGGATATGAGCACTCTGTTTTTCCTCTCTATTCATTCATCAGTTGGTTTGCAGCAGTGGAAACAACAGCTTTCCTGGGCAGTAGTAGTACATATCTCAAACAGACAAAAACTAAGGAAAAAACTACCTTCTCTAGCCTAATTTATCCTCAAAGCAAAATATCCTTTAACATTTCTTTAAGCAACACCTGTCCTAGAGATTTCAAGTTTCTTTTACTTTGGTCCTATGAGAGCAGGAGTGCTGCAAGGAACACAGGTCCTATTTTTTCACCCTGCTGGCTGTCCTCACCCACTTAAAGCTTTATTACAAATCTCCATTCCCCAGGCTTCCCCAAGAATTGTCCCAGTCCCCTTAAAATGTCAAGCCAAAGTTGTTGTGCCATCCCTCTCACCCTCTTTCAGGTTGTCAGGCTGTTATGAGGCCCTGGATGGAGGCAACACAGCTGATGCCCTGGTAGATTTTACTGGTGGTGTCTCTGAACCTATTGACCTGACTGAAGGGGACTACATCACTGATGAAGCCAAGCGAAACCTCCTCTTTGAGCGCGTGTTGAAGGTGCACAACCGGGGAGGCCTCATCAGCTGCTCCATTAAAGTAAGCAAGGTTACCGGAATGATCACGGTCCCATGGGAATAGGTATTTTAGGATGCAGTTGTCTCACATGATTGTAAACTTCTAAATTGGATGAGATAAATTTCGGCCAAGGGTTCTGACTTGTTGTGGACAGCAAAAGCAGTGAATCCTGGATGCCAGCCCTCTTCATTCCTCATTTCTATGTCCAAGAGCCCAGATTCATCCCACCACCTTTTAAATGTTAGGAGGGGATTCACTCCAGAGAAAGGTGTTTTGGTGTCTGCTTGCAGAAATCTCTACAAGTGCTGGGTGCCAGACCTCCCAGTATATGCAGTAGAATGAGCTTTATTTGTTGTCACTATGGGAGCTCAGGGTCCTTATGGAACAGATGAAGAACAGAAGGGATCTACCACATAAAATGTCATCTGAGACATCTGCCAACTGGCTCTCTCTCTCCCTGACCGTTGATGCTCTTCTTTTTGGCTTAAAGAAACCTGTTGGGAAATCTGAGCCTCTTTCTTTCCCAGTCCCTGCAAAGGCAGTCGTATCCCTCTGATCTGAGCACTGTCTGTGTCCCCTGCCCAGGCCACGTCAGCAGCTGACATGGAGGCTCGCCTGGCCTGCGGCCTGGTGAAGGGCCACGCGTACGCGGTGACGGACGTGCGGAAGGTCCGCCTGGGCCACGGCCTTCTGTCCTTCTTCAAGTCAGAGAAACTGGACATGATCCGCATGCGCAACCCGTGGGGCGAGCGGGAGTGGAACGGCCCTTGGAGTGACACGTGAGTTGGGATGGACAGCTTGTTTTGGTGGGAAAAGTTGGGTTGGAGCAAGCCTTGAGACTTGGGACAATCTGACTACATCCACACCCATAAGTTAACGTTGTGTGGGCAGCTCTGGGATGCTGTTTCACCCATGTCCTAAATCTGCTATTTCATTTGGGGTAGAGGTGTCTGAGCTTGGCAGACCTTCCCATTAAGGCTCTGGTGGATGTTGTGGTGAAGTTGCCAGCATGTTTAGGTTAGGTATTAGGAATAAATTATTTACTGTGAGGTGGTGAGCACTGGTACAGGTTGCCCAGAGAAGCATTTCCAGGAATGTTTCCCAATCCTGGAAACATTCAAGGTGAAGTTGGATGGAGCTTTGAGCAACCTGGTCTAGTGGGAGATGTCCCCATACATGGCAGAGGGGTTGGAATGAGATGATATTTAATGTCCTTTCCAAGCAAAACCACTCTGTGATTCTATGATTCTATGTTCACACTAATGAAGCTTGTTTATATAGCTCACTTTTCCACTCCCAGTCTTGTTCTAGCAAAATTAACATCCAACAGAATCAATCTCTGCCACCACTGACTGCTGTGATGTCTGTGGATGAGATGAGATGAGATGATGAACCACGGGCTGGTGTAACCAGAACCTTTGGCCAGAGTCAATTTTGTTATCTTCACTGAAAAGGATTTGATTGTACTGGCTGGGTTCAACTCCGCTGGTCAGGAAGGAAGTTGAAGTTTCAAACCATGCTGGACTTTCCCCATGTTTGGAAGATGATCTAATCAGAACAGCATGGGGAATGAGCTGAAGCTTTATACAGTCCTTGTGCCTCTTGAATTCTTGTGTGTCCCCTTGCCTCTGAGTAATGATCCTGTTCTGTTCCCACAGTTCTGAGGAGTGGCAGAAAGTGAGTAAAAGTGAGAGAGAGAAAATGGGAATGACAGTGGAAGATGATGGAGAGTTCTGGTGAGTCCTTCCTATCACCATGGGCCATGCCCACAGCATCCTCTCACCCCATGGAGCATGTGTGTCATTTCCATGTATACAGCAATCCAGAGAAAACAGCCTTCCAAGCCCTCTCTTTGAGTCCGTGAGGGGTTATCTTTGGATGACCACGACCCTAGGATTGCAAGCTGCTCTGTATCATACTGGGGCCAAACCATTTCACCAGGATACTGAGAACTTGGTATAAGTGGGCTGAACTTAACAGCCTCACTGAGAAAGAGGCACTATTCTGCTTTTCCTACTCCAAAACACATAGCTCTGTTGTTTAAAATGAAGAAGTACTTACTGCATGTATAGATAAAGGTATCTCCATATTTTTTGGGGATATTTGAGGAATAACTTTTGTTATTCATCAGCCATCAGAGACAACCCTCACTCTCTAACAGCTGATCAAGAAAACTCCTGCAGTGTACTTTTCCAGGGAATGAAGCAGCATAACCCAGCTCTGCCCTTTCCTGACTTAGGATGACCTTCGAAGATTTCTGCAAATACTTCACGGACATCATCAAGTGCCGTCTGATCAATACGTCCTACCTGAGCATCCACAAGACCTGGGAAGAGGCAGTGCTACATGGAGCATGGACCAGAAGCAATGACCCCTTGAAAAACCGCTCTGGAGGTTGTATCAACCACAAGGACACCTTTTTACAGAACCCCCAGGTGAGTATGGAGCAGAGGGCCTTCTGGAGCCTCCACATATGCTTCCAAATGTGTAAATCTCCTACAGGGACCTAGAAGACCAAAATGGCTACCAGACCTCTAATAGATTAATTGTGTTTATTACCATTCTCTGGCTAAGCCTCCTGGCACAGCATGACCACCATCCAGGCCAACTCTATTAACCTTATCCCTTTTATCAGGGAGACTGCATCCAAGTGCCTGGTGTAGACCATCTTGGCACAAGCAAATAGCAAACTGTGCCACAGGGTAGCAGTGTTAGCTGGTTCCAGTCAAACAGAGCCAGGACTCATTTCCAACAATTTGGATATCTGAATGATCAAATTCTAGTTCTTTTGCCCAAACTTTGGCATTGTTAAATTTACCAGGACAGGTGTAATCTATAGGGCCATTTCCTTCTAGCTTGAAGTTCATCTCCTGGAACAAAGTCTTCTGGAGAAAAGGAGACTGAGGGGGACCTTATTGCTCTTTACAGCTACCTGAAAGGAGGTTGTAGCCAGGTGGGAGTTGTTCTCTTCTCCCAGGTAACAAGTGATAGGACAAGAGGAAACAGCCTCAAGTTGTGACAGGAGAGGTTTAGATTGGATAATAGGGAAAATTTCTTCACTGGAAGGATGAAGACATTAGAAGAGGCTGCCCAGAGCAGCCAATGAAATCACCATTTCTGGAAGTGTTCAAAAGGCATGTAGATGTGACACTTGGGGAGATCATTTAGCAGTGCATTTGGCAGTGCTGGGTTAAGGGCTGAACTCAATGATCTTAGAGGTCTTTTTCAACTTAAATGATTCTATGGTTGTCTTGTCCTGCTCTGAACTGAGATTCTCAGTATCAAGAGTCAGGTCCTTGTGAGTCCTTCATCTAACAAGCAGATGAAGGATGGTCTGGTCCATTGCAAGAGTTATCATCAAAGACACGGGAGAGTTGTTTCCAGCTTCCAGCTCTATATTAGCCTTCATCTTAGGTCTCTGTGAACATCAGTTCCTCCTTCCATGCCTTATAGTCAGACCTGTGGCAGACTGCAAGTGGTAAAAGTCTCTGCTATGAAACTGCATCCAGGCTCTTTGGATTCTGCCAAGCAATTCAAAGACTGGATTTCACTGTCTTTCTCTAAGATGAGCCAAAAAGGTCTCTGTCTCGGCAAGATGATGACAGTTCCCAAGAGTAGGGGTTGTGGGTTCTCAGTGCAGATACTGTCCCTGCTGGGAGGTAGGTGAGGCAAAACTGAGGTTAAATCTACTGTGTGTGCACCCCTACCCATGCCCAGTGGTCCTGTCTTAATAACTCCCTTTGCTTCTAGTATGTGTTCGATGTGAAGAAGGCAGAAGATGAAGTGCTGATCTCTATCCAGCAGAAGCCAAAAAGGACCAGTCGCAAAGAGGGCAAAGGAGAGAACTTGGCCATAGGCTTTGATATCCATAAGGTAGACTGGGGTTTCCTGCATGTTGGCCTGAATGCCACCATAAATTTGTTAGTGGTGGAGTGGTACATCAGTCCTGCACGACCATATTGTTCATTTAAGCATTATCTGGGTGCTTCTGGAGTGCCTTCAGCACAGCCTGCCTCACTCTAGAGATGAAGACGGATTTCAGAGGTGTACAGTGACAGTGTGGACAACAGGTGGCCCAGAGAAGCTATGGATGTTCCATCCCTGGAAATGTTCAAGGCCAGGGTGGATGGGGCTTTGAGTAACCTGGTCTAGTGGAAGGTGTCCCTGCCCATGGCAGGGCGGTTGAACTAGGTGATCTTTAAGGTCCCTTCCAACCCAAACCATTTGATTCTGTGTAGTTCTCCTTGCTAAAAGCAGTGATTAGTCTGTTCTCTCCAAATGTTGAAATCTGTTAGATAATTCTGTTAGATTATGTGTTGCTTGCCTGGCCCCCAGTGTTAGGGTGGGATGCAAGAGTCCCTGAGCCAACAGAACTGGGAAAGCCCCGTCCACACTTGTATTCTGTCCAGCACAGTTGGGACCATTTTGCTGGTTCTCTTAGCTCCAGGTCTCCCAGCACTGTGGGCTCAGTCCTTGCAATCTGGTCCCCCATGGTGAATACTCAGTACACTGTCAGACAGTGACAATCTGCTGACCATCCTGCTGTGGTCTCTGCCCAGGTGGAGTTGAATAGGAACTACCGGATGCACACCCTGCAGCAGAAGGTGGCCAGCTCCATCTACATCAACTCCCGCAGTGTCTTCCTGAGGACAGACCTGAAGGAAGGTCGCTACGTCATCATCCCCACCACTTTTGACCCTGGTCACGAAGGCGAGTTCCTTCTCAGGATTTTCACAGATGTGCCTTCAGATTGCCGGTAAGGAGCATGAGCCGTGATGGGGAGGAACTGGCTATTTGGAGACAGCCCTTTGTGTTTGACTAATGGTATTCCTGAGCAGTCATAGCCTTACGGGGAGCTGGAGTTTGGCTTCCTTTCAGGTGTGGTCAAGAGACAGGGTGTCTTTACAGGTCTCACCACAAAACATGCAGAGAAGCTCCCACTCTAAGCATCCCAAACCCAGCTTGAGGAGATTGGACTGGGGAACAGAGTCTGAGAGTTGACAGTGCATAATCCTTCCATTGTACCAGAGCAAACTCTCTGGGTTAAGGCTGGGCACCTTTCAAAGGCCACATGTTTTTCCTTGCAGAGAGCTGACACTGGATGAGCCACCACACACCTGCTGGAGTGGGATGTGTGGTTACCCACAAGTAGTATCCCAGATCCATGTCCTTGCTGCAGCTGGGCTCAAGAATCAGGACTCCCAAGGAGGTATTGGTCTCTCCCTGCCTGTTGTCTAACCCTGGAGGAACTAGGAGGTGGTTCTTCAGTGGAGAAAGGGGGAGGTGGTTTTATGAAGTGGGACGTTGCTGGGATTTATGTCCTCAGATATTTTTTTCAGTGAATATGCCTGTTTGAGACACCACAGGAAGAGAAAGTCCACAGAGAATCAAACTCACTTCTTGCAGTGGACATGATCTGCGAGGTGTTATATTTAGGCTGTTGTCTGATATCCTCCCAAAACTTCCCCAAAGCTCTTAGCAGTGGTCCTCTAACAACACAAGCTTTTCTCCTGAGTATGAGCAGCTGTAAAAGTCAGGAATTCTATTTAAGAGCTTTTTAGTAGGAAGGACAGATAAACGATGGAACAGGCTGATGCGTAGTGTTCATCACTGGAGGCTGGATAAATGTCAGTAGAGGGCTGTGTATCACTAGAACCCTGAGAGTAACAAGTAGATTCTTTTCTAAGCCAGGACTAGCCAAGTGTGTGTATTTATCACATGCCACAAAGGGAGTCCTTTTACCCTGTCTGGTATTTGGGGAGGGAATTTTACCCTAGGCAGGTTGTATTTTCTTAGGTGATTCACAATAGCTCAGTGTATCTGTAGCAATGCGGGGAGATCTGTAGCCAAAGGTCTCTGAATGTTCACAGAAACAAGGAGGTTTATCTTTCCACATTTTTTTCCACAAGAGGCACTTGGGAATTGCTTTCTTCCAGCTGTTTTCCAGCTGTTCAGCTCCCACCACCAACAGCATGTTTTGTGCTTCCCAGTGCAACGGCATCTCTTGTACATCCCAGTCCAGGCCTTCTCACATTGGAAATAGTGATTTACAGATAGGAATTTGGCTCTGGCTGGTGGAACATGAGGATTTAATGGGACATCCCAAAAGACAAGGATGGTTTACAAAAACAGCTGTGAAATTCAGCAGCTGTGTCTCACCAGGGGAGCCAGGTCCTTGCAAACAGAAAGCTAACAATGAGGTAGTCTGGCAGTCAAAGATGTGGTTCTTAAATCTCTGGCCCTCAGCAGGGGCTGGTTTGTTCCTCTTCATTTCCACATTTCCCTGGGACATGAAAACTCATCCAACTGGTGTATGTTTCAATCATAGCCCCTAAAGCTCACGGTGAGAAAATGCATTCTGGCAATTAAATTTCCATAGCAATAGTTGATTCTCTAATGAAAATCCCAAAACGAGCACTTGTTTCGTAAGAGGAAAGTATTCACTAATGAGGGACTCTTTCCTCCTCCTGGAAGCTCAGGTGCCATCTAGCTGTGGCTGTAGTCCATGAACTTGCTAACTTCATTCTCCATCTGGTATTTCCTTGTGGGAGCCTATTTCTCTTCTCCATGGTTTTATTTCTGCCTACCTTCAGGACAGCAAATCCAGAAAGGATGGTGTCTTCCATGGAAGATTTATTACAATTTATTACAATATTACAATTTATTACAGTCAGGAGGATTTAGAATGATGAAGGACTGTTTATGTAGAATATGAGGCCAAAGAAGAGGCGGCCATTTCATAGAATCATAGAATAGTTAAGCTTGGAAAAGCCCATTAAGGTCATCAAGTCCAACCCTTAACGCAGCACTGCCAAGCCCACCACTAAACCATGTCCCCAAGTGCCACATTTTCTAAATCCCTCCAGGGATGGTGACTCCACTGCTGCCTTGGGCAGCCTCTTCCAGTGCTTGACAACCTTTTGGGGAATAAATTTTTCCTAATATCCAGTCTAAACCTCCCCTGGCACAACCTGAGGCCATTTCTTCTTGTCCTGTCACTTATTACCTGGGAAAAGAGACCAACCCACCTGGCTACAGCCTCCTGTCAGGTAGTGTAGAGACTGATAAGGTCTCCTCTGAGCCTCCTTTTCTCCAAGCTGCACACCCACAGCTCCCTCAGCTGCTCCTCATCAGACTTGTGCTCCAGGCCCTTCACCAGCTTCATAGCAGTCCATCACTGCCTGCTGCCCAGGGACAATATCACCTAAATTCTAGAATTAAGCCTGAGCCCAACAGCTGAGCTTCATGGACGTCATCTGGGCTGTGATGAGTTCTCTGGCAGATACCTGTGTCCTCTGGTGGGACATTGGAGGCAAAGTGCTGCATGACACCCCTAGAAAAGGACTCTAAGGAATTACAGAAGCTGAAGTCTCTAAAGGGGGAATCTACAGCTATATAGAATAATGAATGTAGCTTAAAAGTAGGTAGTAAAACCATGTAGCTTAACCTATATAGCTTATCATTAAAAGACAGCAGTCTCAGCAGAAAGGAATTTCTTGGGAGACAGGATCTTCTGAAACAGAACTGATAAAAGAACATAAAGCTAACAAACTAGACAAAACTGTCCTCATGGTTGTACGAAGGGCATGGACACTGTTCCAAAAGACATGATGGTGTACCAAAAGTGAGAGTTCAAGAAAAAGACAGCGTAAAAAGGACAACAAATGACCCAAAGGGACCACGAACTCAAAACAGGAAGCGTGTCAAGGGGAGGAACAATTCTGGGAAAGGGGTGGAACAGGATTAGGTAATACTTGAATTGTTAATTAGGTAACTAAATAAAGGCATGAGGTTATTGTAACTTATGCATGCACACCTTTTGGAGAATCTAATCTCATGTGGATACAATATCATTAATAAAAGAACGCTGTCTGCTAAAACTCACAAATTGAATCTTAGGGGTTTCTTTTAAGAGCCGATTTGAAGCTTCACAATAAAAAAATTCCCTTTTCTCTCCCCAGGAGCCGATCCTTATGTGATCATAAAGTGCGAAGGACAGAAAGTTCGCTCTCCAGTGAAGAAGAACACAGTATCACCAGAATTTGATGTGAAAGGGCTCTTCTACCGCAAGAAGCCAGGACAACCCATCATTGTTCAGGTACCTGGGAGGCGAGCAGTGAGTTGAGGGATGGAGACCCTCTCTCACTTGGACCACCCCAGCCCTCTCCTCACAGTGTTCACAGCAGATCTGTTTCCCAAGGCTGAGCATAACTAATTATTGCAGCTCAACCTCTCATCACCGTGGTGACATCTGTTAAAAGCATGTCCTTCATCCCTCTCACTTACAGAGTGACACCCCCACACCTCATCACCTCCCTGGCTCTGGCTCAGAGCAAATCCCCACTAACCCCTTCTTCTCTCCAGTGCATGAAGGTTGGCTGCATTCCTGAAGGAGCTGCCTTTATCCCTGTTTTATTTCCACAGATCTGGAACCACAACTTAATAAGTGACGAGTTCTTGGGCCAAGTGGTACTGACGGGGGATCCCAGTGACCGGCAGTCAGTGCACACGCTGCACCTCCAGGACAAGGGGAACAGGAGGTCAAATGATCTCCCTGGAACCATTGCTGTGATGCTGCTCAGCAGTAACGTCCTCACTAATGTCTGAGTACTCAAGGATGACTCTTCTGGTGCCACATATGTGAATATAAACATGCACACATACACACACATATATATAGAGAGACACACACAGAGCCTACCTACCATCCGCAAAGTGTATATGAACCATGCATGCATTCCACTCAAAAGAGCCAATCTTGTGTTTTCAATGTTCAAAAATGGTGCCTTTTTTTAGGAACCACAATGATCCTTCTGCTGGCATCCTCTGCAGCCTCCCCTCGTTGCCATGTGCCCTGTGGGATTGCCGTGAGCACACTGTGTGCCCTGACAGCCAGAGCATGATGCCCTGATGCTGTTTGTTTACACAGGCTGGCACACCCACATGCCGCCATGCACACGTGTGGCCACCGCGGTCCCACCAGCTGCTTCAGTGCATCCTCGATGTGTCTGCTGGTGTTAAGAGCAGTTTGCATGGAGTTGACTCCCTTGAAATTGTCATTTAATCGCTTATCTGTGGAGGCGCCACAGCAAAGGAAAAGTGAAAAAACAGACTGGGGCCTTCTGTGTGTTTTTGGGGATGGGTTTGCATACTGCAACTGGAAGGAAAATGCACCAAGGCAGCCCAAATCCCAGATTCACAGGGGCAACAAGATCAAAGGCTCTATCATTTTAGGGACAAGCTGAGTCCACCCAAGTCTTGTTCAATCCCATGCAACTCTGAAGTATACAAAGATGTCAACAACTATGTGGGAAAACTGTTCTCTGGGGTCAGGCTTTTGAACTGGTCTGGACTCGGCTCCTCCGTGTGCCTCTTGAACTGCCGTGGTGCCTGCTGTCTCCATGTCTTCATGCCATCCCCATCCCACGAGCTCATCTCAGGAGCTGAGGTGGCTTGTCTGCTGGAGCCATTCAGTGTTCAAGTAAGAGGAGATTGATTCCTCTGAAGGCGAAAATGTCAGGTCCAAGGGATGGAGAGCTTTGCTCCATGGACTCCATCTTTACTGCTGCATACAGTGCATCATTTCTCAGTGCCTCGCTTTCCCAAATTCTTTTAAAAAATAGTGGGATTTTAGCTTGTACTAGAGGAGCACTACTCCCAGTGCAGCCTGAAAATGCTGGGAATATTTAATTCATACCAGTGCCCATCTCTCACCTTTAATTTCCAGTCTCCTGGCTTGGAGGAGGAGTTGCACAGTGCTAGAACCAGTCTCATGAGCACAACTCAAATGCATCCTTGGGGGCATGTCTGGGGCCACGGTGTGCTCCTGATTTCCATGAAAACTGGGTTAATCTTCTTTATTCCACTGGGTGGCAGAATCCGGCTTCTTATAAACCATCCCAGATAAGCCAAACAACAACCCGTTGTCTGGCCTTTGAGCAGCTGATCAGGGCGGGTTTCAAACCATTTTTTTCTCCTGTTGTTTGGGGGTTTTTATTCATGTGCCTTTAAAATGGTGCAAGTTAAGGGATTTTTCTGTCAGATTTTCTAACAAGTAAATCTTTTTCAATCACCTGCTGCATGCAAGTGGAAATTAATATATATGATAAAATGTTCTAATCTTGGCAAATTTTGGCCTGGGCAGAGTCCTTTTCCTGCAAGAACAAGTGAACAGGAAAGCCTTCTTTTGCCATAGCAAGTAGGGTTTCTGCTTGCCCTAGTAAACACCCATATTTATGCTGCAAGGCTGTTTTTTTTTTTTTTAAGTCCCTAAAGATCTTTTAAGTCTATAACGTAGTAAAGTGTTCCCAAATTCACATCACCTGCCAGCTCAGTTCTTGGTGCATCCAGAAGCAGACAGTACAACTGCATCAATTTTTGCAGGCTGTTTTTCTCCTTTCCTCATCTTCAGAGTTTACCTCCTGCAGTTATTGACAAAACCGTTCCAGGTTTGCACTGAGAACCCTCCAACTGCAAGTGCCATCATAGGGACCAAGTTTATTTCAGCATCTTGCAGAATTAACTTAAATGCTTCTAGGTAGGTCAAGTGACATTTTGAACCCAAGGTCAAAGCAAATCCTTGAATTTGGGCAGACTGATTCAAAGATATTTTGGTTTTATTCTGTTTTTGTTTATGGGACTCATCACTGAAAATAAATGGAAGCAGCATTGTAGGGCTAGAAGGTATCATTTGGGTCTCTAGACTTATGTTCAGAGTGACATAAGAGATGGACCGTGATCCCCAAAGATACCTCACCAGAGAAGGAGAAGAGCAGTTTGGCATCCCAGGAACGTGAGAAGAGCTTTGCACCATCATCAGTAGATGGAGGCATCCAGCCTGCTGGCATTAGCCTTGTTTTCTCAGGAAATCAGGCTATGGATAGCTTCAGCAAAGGAGAGATATTTGGTCAGGAGTGCCCTGCCATGTGCCAAATCTCACCGTGATGCCCAAGGAGCAGTGCTGAAGCTTAACAAGGAGTAATGGTGCCCTGGTACCCATGGGCAGACTCCTTCCTTCCTATAAAGAATCAAGCCATGATGAGAGGAAAGACAGCTTTTAAACAGTTCTTAAAAAAAAAAAAAAAGAATCATCACACTATATCAGGACCAAAATGTCTTAATACCAGTAATATTTGTCCTTTTTTTCCCCAAAGCTTTGGAAAAGTTGGAGCAGAAGCCTTTTTCCCCTACATTTCCAATGGAATAACAAAAATTACCTTTGTTACTCTTTTTTTTGGTCTTGTTTGTAGAGCAGATATTGAAATGCCATTCCTACTGTTGATGCCTTTTCTTTTTGAATGAAGTAGACAGAAATATTCAGGATTTTTTTGTTTGAGAGGAGTGTGGGTCTGATAAACACTTTCCAGTCCCTCCCAGGTGGTGTAGGACATGTCTCTGATTTATTTTATATTTCTTTTCTTAATCATTTCAATGGTTGCAAGCAGCCTGCCATTATACTCTGTGAAATCCATTTCTCTTTGACATCTCCGTGTTAGAACAGGCTGTGACTTGTCTTCATCTCCAAAGGCACTGATGTGTCACGCTGCACAAAACCAGAGAGTGGTCCAAACAGAAAGCCAACATTGTACAGCTGTAAACCTCCTATAAATAAATAAATAAATTGTGTATATTTTATTCAGACTTCCTGCCTTTAAACTGCTGTGTTCTTCCAGAATGCTTTTGATGGGCACAAGGTGGCCCTGAAGAGCCTTTTGTATTTGCTTTATCCACTAAACTCCATTCAAATTCTTTTCTCTGTGGACTTTGAGACTGAGGCAAGATGATCTGCGTGAGGTTTTCACACAAGGTTACACTCATGTTCACTGAGAAAATCCATGGAGAGGGTGGGTAACCTGCTCTGACTGTAAACCTTGGCATCTTTGCCCTGGAGTCACCACAGTGCAAGGAACTTGGGTTTTTTGAGCCTCACCTGATGTGGAAAAAAGCTCTGCAGATTGCTTAAAAAAATAAAAAGAGAGGTGGGTTTATGGGCAAAGCAGAAAGCGAAAGTGGGTTTTGGATGGCTTTAGCTCAAAGAACAAACCTGCACGTTGCACATGGGGAGCATTTGAAAAGTATGGCCCTGCCTGTGGGAGTCTCCAGTCTTGCTGCTGTAACACAAAGACCCAAAGTGGGCTCTTGCTTCCATCTCAGCTTCCAGCTCTCAGCTCCACCAGCTGCCTGTGCTCAGGGTCTTTGCAGTGTGGAGGAGCTGTGCACTTCTGCAGCCCACCCTCAAGAGCCTGGAGCAGACATGAAAAAAGCTCTTTTATTGTGGGGTGGGGGCACCTTTCCAAATTCTCCAGCTCCTGGGATCATCCTTTGGGACAAAGGATGTCACCAAATGGTAGATAGAGAAAGGAGTATCTTAGTTCTCTGCCTCCACCACTGAAACATCTTGCAAGGATCTTTCCTCAGGGGAAAGCCTCACAAACATCTATACCCCCAAACATCCTGATGCTCTCCTGGAGGGTGTTCTGAGCAGTAGACCTGGCTAGGCACCTATTGGGCTGCGATACTTGCTGCTGGATAGACCAGGTGGCTTTACTGGGCCTTGCTTTGTGCACATTCTAAAAAAAAGGTGTATGCAAGCCTGAAGAAGTCACAGGTCATCCTGTAGGCATAGAGGTCATGCTTCCCCACCGGCATCCACATCTCAGTTTTGTTGGTACTGCAGCAGTGGTCTTAAAAGTGGAGGTTGCATTGCAGCCCTGCCTGTCCCTGTGCTAGTAGGGCACACCAACATAGCAAGCAGGGATGTTGGAATTGGTGTGGGACCCCAGCATGTCAGTGTGGAGATGTGGGGAGATTGTCCATGTTTGGAGACCAGCAGCAAGTATTATAGTGCACAGCTCCAGGTAGGATCCAGCCCAGGCTCACCAAGGGTCCTGCAGCACCTCTGTATCTCTCCAGCAATGCCATTTATCAGAGATTTCTGCTCACAAATCTTAAATTAAGTATCGTTTTTATATGGGATTTCTAATAAGGATTTTTCTAAGGCATGTAGTGATAGAACAAGGGGGGATGGCTTTAAATTGAAAGAGAGTAGTTAGGTTAGGTATTAGGAAGAAATTCTTCACTGTGAAGGTGGTGAAGCACTGGCACAAGTTGCCCATAGAAGCTGTGGATGCCCCATCCCTGAGAGTGTTCAAGACTAGGTGGATGAGGCTTTGAGCAACCAGGTCTAGTGGAAAGTGTCCTTGTCCATGGCAGAGGGTTTGGAATTAGATTATCTTGAAGGTCCCTTCCAACCCAAACCATTCTGTGATTGTGTGATTCTGTGATAAATTTGCAATTCAGAGTCTCCTTTTCACCTGAAAGAGCATCTTCATGAAGAAACAGACAAGGTGGAAAGATGTGGATTGCTGGAATATTTCTTCTTGCAGCTGGATCCTCTATAGCCTGCAGCTTCCCACCTTAATGCCTCTGTACATTTCCCCCATATGGCTATGAACCTCCTGCTGCTCAAAAGGGTGAAGATTTCCAGCAAGAAGGGTTACAGGGCCTTCAACAAGGGGATGGGTCCATTTTCTGTCCCTTAGAGCTGTTCAGGTGCTACCACATCCTTGGCCAATACTCCAGGTGTTAAGTACCAGGGATTGTCCCATGACCTGCAGCCATTAGAGTCTGTTCTGAGCAGTTGTCCAAATGCTCTTTACGCTCTTCAAATCCTACCTCCAAACCCGGTGGTGCAGGCAGAGGAGCATGTCCTGCCCTATGTTCCTGGAAGAGCCTCCCTCACTGCCTTTCCACACACCTATGGGTCATGTTGGGCACAAGGAAAGGCTGCCCAAGCCTAGACCCTTTCCAGGCACAACAGATGCAGTCCAGAGCAAAACCTGGGCACAGCCATTCTCTGCCCTTACATCCACACCAGCTGTATTGACACAGTGAGTAGGGCTTGAGTGAAGCCAGGCATGGCCCCAGGTGATCACAAATCATCTGTCTTGAGCTTAAAGTCAGCTGAGTCTATTCATGGCTGAGGGCTGGGCAGCAGTGGGGAGTTTCTAAAGGCTGGGCAAGGGACAGGAAGGACAGACACCACTTAGAAGGTGTCTGTACCATGATTCTCCTATATTTTGAGCAGAGTTCCTGATTGACTTTGAAGGAAAGAGGCTCCCTCTTATTGCTCCTTACTTCTGCAGTTATCACCAAAAAATTTCAGTCATCCAGGTCCACAGAGGGTTTTGGGCCCCCTCATTCCAGACTGGAGCTTAGAAACATCTTGTGTGATAACACTGCAAATAAAAAGTTGTGTTTTGCACCATTCAGTGGCTAAAATGACATGATTTATACCTAAGTAAGAACCTTGGTAATGTTTCATAGCACAATTAAAATCCAACCCCACCTTTCTAAGCAGGAAGGAAAAAAGACAGTAGCCCAGATTCAGGCAGGGAGTCACCAGGTCAGAGTTAAGCTTCTAGGCAAAACCTCAGCTCTGAGTTTCCTGGTCCTTGAGTGTGTTCCTGTCCGAGTTTTCACATTTACAAGTGCATGCTGGTGCATTCAAAACAGAATGCCTGTCAGCTCCTCGCCTCACCCCACAGGACCTCAATACAGTTCCTTCCATATCCCAGAGACCACTTTGCACAGAGCAAGGGATCGTTCCAGCCACCTCTTTGCCCAAGAAGTCATCAGGACTCTGCACAACAAGGACTTGAAACTGCAGCTTAACTTGTAGCGGGGATCTTCATGGGTGCCATGAAAACCTTCTACATGGGCAGATACTGATATGACAAGAGAGTGTGGCTTTAAACTTAAGGAAGGCAGATTTATATTAGCTATTGGGAGGAAATTCTTTACTGTGAGGGTGATGAGGCACTGGAACATGTTGCCCAGAGAAGCTATGGATGCTCATCCCTAGAAGTGTTCAAGGACAGGTTGGGTGGGGTTTGGAGCAACCTGGTATAGTGGAAAGTGTCCCTGCTCATGGCAGGGGGTTTGGAACTCGATGATCATTAAGGTCCCTTCCAACCCAGGTCATTCTATGATTCTACAGTGTCATGGTCTGGGGCAGACCCCAGAGATGCAGGAGGACGCATCTCTGGGGCGTGGGGACGCTGGGGGAGCGCGACACTAGCAGTCACCGGGCTGGAGGTACCACACACACTCACACACCCACACCCACAGCGGGGGCTGGCGATATCCCGGCTCCTCCCCCGCTAAGAGGCTCAGCCAGGGCAGGCGCTGCCCTTGCTCGGTGCTGGAGGCAGCGCAGCTCCGCGTCGGGCACCAGCGCTCCGTCCTTCACGCCGTCCCTGGCCATGCCCCACTAAGGTAAGGCGAAGAGTGGGCAGGCGGCACCCGGGGGAGCCAGGCTGGGGGCTTGGAATGCTCCGGGTGGGGTGCAGTGGGTGCAGCGGGGGTGCGATGCGGTGCGGTGCGATGCGGTGGGGCGCGGTGAGGTGCGATGGGTGGGATGGACGGGGGGTGCTCCCGCGAGGGCTGCGAGGAGCGAGTCGGATCAAACCTGGGGAAGAGGCTGGGCTCGATGGGAGGGGGGAGACGGCGCGACTGCAGACTTGCCAGCAGTGCCCAGCAGCCCCGAGCCAGCTCGGCTCCCGCAGCACGGATTACCGGCTCGGTAATTTCTAGCTGCTGCTTAATTTGGCTGGGATCACCGAGCAGTGAGCTGGAATGAAGGGCGGAGGGCATTGTGCCCTCCTGTACTGCGCTGTGCAGCCCCCCACCCCTTTGCTACACAGCCCTTCCATATTCAGGGATACCTCTGAAAGTGCTTGAGGAGGGGGAGAGGCTCTTGCTGCACTGGCGATGGCTCAAGACCCCAGGTGGTCTCCCAATCCATCTCACCCGCTCCCTGCTCTCACCCAGAGCCAAACATATCATTTAGGTGGATAACACACAGCCGGTTCTCAGGCAGGATTTCTCCTGGCTGCAGTGTAGCACAGCATGTGTCCGGGCTGGTTTTGGTGGGCTGTCCCCTGGGTCGCACTGGTGCCGGCAAGCAGATCCCAGGTCCTTCCCTGGCTGTTTAAATTATTAGGGCCATTCTTGAGCAGGGAATGAAGCCTGACATGGGATAGGCAGTTCCCATAAAACGGTTTGCGTTTTGCTGCCTGCTTCGGGAGTATGGTGTTTTGTACATGGGTTGTGCTGGACCAGCTGAGCACTGCACTAAAGAAAGGTACAGGCTTTCCTAGGATAGTTACAATTACATTATTCTAAGGAAAGTGGAACTGGCATCTCTTAGCATCTATGGGAAGACTGGGGTGTATGGTGGAGGACCTGTCATGTAGATAGCATGGAGGGAGAGTTTGAAATGCAAGAGGCCAGTGGGTCTAAGATTGTCTGTTTGCCCCCGGGATGCTAAGTTTCCCCTGTAAAAGGAACTGGCAGGAGCTAGAGGATCTTCTCACAGCCCCAGGCTGTTGGTGTGAGAGTGCTTCTCTCCACAGTCTGGGCACAAGGATGTCCAACAACCAACCCTATGGGGTTAACCTGTACATTACATCAAGATGTCAAGGACATAGCTTGTGTTGCTGACTACTCACACCTCCTCCATTATAGTATTCTGTGGGCCCTACCTCTCTGCCCGTGATGTGAGGGACTGCAAGGTCCCAGCACTGGTACTGTGAAGGTACGGAATGGTTTTGCAGCTTTGGACTGAGCTTTGCCAATGC